AAACTCCAAAATATCGCTTCAATGGCTTGATCACATTTCACAAACATGTAAGTTCTTGAAATTCACTCGCATATATGTCTAACTTTTATGCATATTGATTGCATGTTGAGGTATATGGCAATGTTATATATAAACGCAAACGCCGTTAAGTTGATATTACAATGTTATACATTTTGCTTGCGTTTTAGAGCTATTTTGGAAATTTTAACTATAAGCATTTTATAATACTTGATCAGTATTAAGAGAGCTTATGATCAAAGAGTTTTGCCGGAAATGGGGAAGAAAGGGAGTGGTGGGTGGTTCTCGACGGTGAAGAAGAAAGTCTTTAATAAATCTTCTCCTAAAGACTCAAAGGTATTCTAATTACACCTTTAATTGCATGTATATGTATGTGTGTTTATAATTTATCAATGCATTGCAACATTATGACAATGTTCCACAACACATTAGGGAAAATTAGAACATTAAAAGTGGGTTATTTAGAAGTATTGGGATCTTACTTTTAACATGAAAAGATTTAAAGCCAATTTACCGAAAAAGAAAGAAAAAATATTAGTATTTAAAGTACAAATATACACGATGGTTATAATTAATTTTAGGACTTCTAACAAAATATAGTTTGAAGAAAAAGACCGCATAACTAATTCTTAATTAATAAGCAATTTTGGCTTAATGTCTTTTTCTTCTTCAATTAAGCAATATTAATATTACATATGTATAACAAATTTAACTCATTACACATGGTACTACCAAGAGAAGAACAATTCTGTTATTTTCTTAGGGGTTAGATCATACGAATCTATTTTTCTAATATTTGCACTATTTAATGAGTGTTCGTAAGATATATTTATGAATATTAGAGCTTAAAAGGGGAAAACATAATACGGTCTTTCATCTTATAAATGTATGACAAGTTGAGTTACAAAAAAGTAAATGTAAAGACCGTATTTATGAATTAAAAGCCGAAAAAGATTGGTCCCCTTGTGAAAGAGATAAACTAAGGAGGCTCCTTATAAGAGCATTGAAATATGATTTTCATGACACCTAAAAAAATCTTTTTTCTCCTTCTCCCAATTTTCATGTGCATTTCTTCGTTCCCTCGCCATCACTCCACCCATTTATTTCCCCACC